CTGGTGTTTTCTTTTCCCAAACACAAATCTGTGTACTTGTAAACAGGCATACTTGTATAAATTCTAAGAAAGAGATATGTAAACTATTTACCAAAATGTTAGTGACAGTTAAGATTTCTAAGTTAGTGATTATAAGTGACTAATGGGATCTTCTTTTCCTTTTGCTGTGTTTTCTGTGCCAAATATGCATTCATTTTAAAATTCAGAGGAAATAGTGTTTCAGAAGTAAAATTCTTCATCTGGACAGAAAATCTTCACAGCAGTACCATTTTACAGGGAGAGCTGAGACAATTCCTCACATAAACCTCCTGTCACAGACGGCATCTTGGGGTAAAGGTCAAGCTGCACCAGAACTAAATTTCTTGGGACTCTATACTGTTTCACCCTCTCCAGACCAGAACACGGAAAAAGGGAGTCCATGGAAGGTTTGATGATATCTTCCACTTTTTCAAGTGTGAGATGGGTGGATCTCAACTAATTGTGACAGTAATTGTGACCGGCTGAAGAATGAAGCTGGACCAGAGATGCCTTTAACCCAGAAAATCATTTGCTTGTTTGACCTTACTTAGTCAAATAAAGTTCTTAGAAAGCTAGGTGCTTTTTAATTCTGAGATTAAAATGCAGAGTCTTTCCCTTTGTCGTTCATATGGTACTCATAGTTTACTTGAATGTTTGTAAGATTGATATCTGAAACCCAAACAATTCCCCCAAATCAGTAAACAAATGAAAGCATCTCTTTCATCTGTTACCAAAGTTCCTAATGAAGCCCATGAGACCAGCTCTTAGTGTGTATCATTTTTTAACCTTAAGTATCACAGAAGAAGTCTAAATAGGATGGTCCCAGGAGATTTAGGGCACAGGGATTCACTCCATTTTGGAGAAAATAAACAAAGTTCCTGAAATTTTCAGGTTAAAAATTGCTGTCCCTCCCAATCACGGGGCCACTTCCCAGGCCACAGGAACCTGGACTCAATAGGCATAGCAAAATTGGAAGGTTCTCCTGGATAGTCGAGAGGCTGGATTTTCCTCCCTTTGTAGGTCTAAGCTTCCATTGTCAATGCTCCTTCACCACAAAAGTTTTCACCTGTGCCCAGTGAATCCACCCAGCTTCTTTAATGTGTTGTAAAGTTTACTATCTGGAAAGTGCCTCTTTCTTCCTATTGCCATGTGTGTTGTCTAAAACTTTACTATTTTCTCTATATGATTTTCAGTATTTGGTTGGGTATGTAGAATCACATGGCCATTAGAGTTGACTTTCACTAAGCTCTTCTTGCTGTGGGACTCGGGTAAAAGGATATTTAATTATCAGTGATGAAATGCTCCTTGGTGTTTGAAATGCTATGGTGTTAGAGAAGAATTAAAGGTGGAATGATGTGGGAGGTGAGAAGTTGTGAGGAGAACAGAATTTTCAACAGAAGAAAGTAACATATTCTAAGAATTAAAGGTAATCTAGGATAGAATTCATAATAGGACTTCTGTATAATGGAGTCATATGCATAATGGAATTGTATGCACCCCTGGAAAAAATAGGAGTGAGATATACAGTATAGTTACAGAAAGTATTCAAGACATAATATTCACTCAGAAAAGAAAACTATACATGAATTGGTATGTACTATCTAATTCCATTTGTGTTACATTGAAACAACATAGGAATATTTATGGTCATATTTAGAAAATTTATAGCCAGCATACACAACAACAAAACGAAAATCATTACTTCTAGAGCAGGGAATGTAAAGAAGGAGAAAACTAAGTTTTCTGTTCACGATCTTCTGTTCAGATGGCTCCTCCCCATACCTACTATGGGCACTTTAATAATTTGAAAAGCCTTATTTGATTTTTCTATGTAAACTTAGTATTTTACCCCCAAAAGAAGAAGATTATACTAACTTGTCAGATAATGACTTTGTAATCATCAGAGGCACTGATGCAGAATTTGGGGGACTATTTTTGAGGATTGCTGTGCTTTTAAAATTACCTCCCAACTCTACAGTCTTGTGATTCAGTTCTATTTGATGGACTCAAAATACCAAGTCCAGGCTTTCCTTCTCACTGTGCTTCCAATTGGAAAGACTTATGTAATAAAATGAATAATATTAACTTCTCGCCCAGAATTGGTTTCTAGGTCTAGGAAGAAAATCATTTCTCTAGAAGGAAATATTTTGAAGTGTTTCTTTTTATTTTATTTTTAAGCTACAGAGGTATTTTTGGCCAAACAGGAAACCAAAATTGGAATTAAATAAACTGCTTTCTTGGTGACTGGGATTTCCCACAAAGAGGCTGACATTCTGCTTTGACTGTCACCGTCCTACAGTTCCAGTGTTAGCACTCATCTACTCCTGTCATCCTTTTCCTGAGGGATGATGAAAGAGGCAACAGAAGCACAGAAATGCATACGCTCAATCTATCTTTTTCATAACTGAACATATGTATTATTTATTTTTATCCCCTAAGTGTAGGCAGGATTGATATTCCAGTTACCTAAATATTTGTTTTACCTTATTCAATAAAACCTCATATTCTGTTTACACGGGAGTAGTAAAGGCTCTCTTACCCCCACATCTGCAAGGAAAATTAGCACAGATTCAGTTGATACTTTTCTTCATATTTGAAAACTATATTGTATTTTTCTCTTCTTCAAAATCTCAGGAAGGGAATTCCAAAATTTTCTTTCATTCAACTACCTGCATCCCTCCCACTTTTGTAATATAATAGCATAGCTCTTAACTAATAGCATCTGGTTAATTACAAAATTTTACTTTAATTTTTAAATTTTTAATATTATCCTAAAACTTTACTCACCTAGGCTGCTGAGGGTTTTTGTTGTTGTCATTGTTGTTGTTCTATTAAATTTTGTGACTGTGATAAGTGTCTCACTTGCCAATTTTGACTGCTGGAACTCTCCATTGTGTATCTTTTTAATAGCTACAAACTTTAAAACTTGAAGTTTATTTCCCCTGGATCTGGACCTTGGGTGCTCAAATTTTTATATACTGCCTTTTCAGAGACTTTAATTTTCTCATGAATTACACTGTCAGCCCTCCTTTCTCCAAGGTGAATTAACATACTATTTGCTCCTTTTCTCTCAGCCCTTGAAATAATGATGTATTTCCACTTTGGAGAAATATCTGCAATTTTGTTTTTGTGTTCATGAGGGAATACTTAAGTATGAAAATCTGTATTATATAGAGAACATAAAGGAAAATTATGTTCAGATTTCCCATATATTACTCCAAAAAATTATTTTTAGCATTTTGATGTATTAACTTCTTAAATGGCCTTTGTGTTATTGAATGTTTCTTTCCTTTGATAATTACTTCTTTGCTTTGGTTTATTTCCTTCTTATTTTTGCCAAACATAGACTATGATCTACATAGTTAACTTCCATCAATCATATTTTTCCATGCCATATTTTATAGATTATTTTTATAGATCAAATAATGGCCAATTGATGAATATGCTATAGTTAATTTTATTATTCCTTTATTAACTTACATTATTTCTGGGCTCCACTCTTAAAAATAAATATCAAGGGGGCTGGGAAGGTAGCTCAGTGGTAGAGCGCTTGCCTCAGCACCACATAAGCAAAAAGAAAAAAGCCGGAAGTGGCGCTGTGGCTCAAGTGGTAGAGCGCTAGCCTTGAGCTGAAGAGCTGAGGGACAGAGCCCAAGCCCAGAGTTCAGGCCCCATGACCGGACCCCAAAAAAATGATATGAAAAATAAATATCAAGAGAAGTTCTTTGTACATACTTGCTAAGACATAACCCTGACTATTAAGGCCACAGGAATGGGTAAAGGACACTGAAATACTAATATTCCATCAATTTATCTAAATAAAATGTTGCTGAGCTTTTTCATTTGTCCTGAATTTTCCCTATATTTTCCTTTTTTTCTGAGTATAATTTCATTCCAAATGAAGAAAAAATAAGTTACTCCTCAGTAAAACAGAAAAACATCTTTTTACCTATTTTGTGATCATGATGCTTCTTAGGTAATAGTGATATAAGACAAATCACTCTAGCCATAGAACTAAAATGTTAAATGCATTATGTGGGAAACCTTTTTGTATAAACACTGAAAGATGCTATGAGACTATGAGGATGATAATTAAACCATTTTTTTTAATGAGAGCTTTGTGATTCTCAGTAACACCTCAGAGAATAAAGGTAAGAAACTAAGTTTCTCCATAGTTACCAGGTTTATAATTCCAAAGAAATTAGAAAATACAATTTAGTATGGTAACAAACTACCTGTGAACATTCACTTCTAAGCACAAGCTAGAAAATGCATGATATTTCACACTAGCTAAAAAAAAAAGTAATTTGATCATGTGTAGCAGCATGGCCAAAGGGCTTGGACTTAGAAGTTGGATTCCATCCTGACACTTTCTGAGGAACAGGATGCTTGATCTGAGTATTGAAGAAACAGGGGATCATTTGCTTTTGAAGAAGTATAGAGACAGTCAGGGGTTTGAAGTTGTTGAATAGTTTAGAAAAGGGTTCATGAAATACACAGACATGCATAGAAAGCAAGCACACATGACGTTGGAACAGACTTTTTTTTTTTGCCCACTCAGAGAGGAAGAGTATTAAGAAGATAATCAAAATTATGATTTAAACACATTTCTCTGAAATATGAGTCTATAATATTAAGAAGTTCTTTCCAAGCTTAACTATTCTATTTCTATTTCCTTGGCCTAGCTTTCCCTTTAATACCTATAGCCCATTCACCAGGATATTTTTGCCCATGTATCTTTTTTTCTTCTACCTTGTGCCATCCCTGTTTATTCTTCCGTAACTTTATGCATAGTTTATATTGTGCCCTGATTGTTTTTGCTGGCTTTTACTGGTAGAGGAACCACTGCCCCTATTCATTTGTCATTATCAAGGAACAGACTTCTTGTCACTTCTTTCTCCTAGAATCCCCTACTCAAAGCATTGGGCACTGATGTGTTCTGATTGATGGCTCAAGTCTACTATTTCTGGAAGTTCTACTCAATGAAGAGTGAAAATGACACACTGGTGAGTGAATTTCTTTTCCAAAGTTTCTCCAGCTTTCATGAACACAAACTTACCCTCTTTGTGCTATTTCTTACTTTGTACCTTTTAACCCTGATTGGCAATGTCATCATTGTGACAATCATCAGCATTGATCATCACCTCCATATTCCCATGTACTTCTTTCTTAGCATGCTTTCCACTTCAGAGACTGTGTACACATTAGTTATTGTCCCACAGATGCTTGCCAGCCTTGTAGGGTCAAGCCAAACCATCTCCTTGGCTGGCTGTGCCACCCAGATGTTCTTCTTTATCACTCTGGCTATCAACAACTGCTTTCTGCTCACAGCAATGGGGTATGACCGCTATGTGGCCATCTGTAATCCTTTGAGGTACATAGTCATTATGAACAAAAGGGTGTGTATTCAGCTGGTGTGGGGGTCCTGTAGCATCGGGCTGCTTGTTGCCATCATTCAGATTTCATCTGTGTTTAGGCTGCCATTTTGTGATAGGGAGGTGGCCCATTATTTCTGTGATATCCGTCCAGTTATGAAGCTCTCCTGTGCTGATACCAGTCTACATGACCTAATTAACTTCTTTATCAGTTCACTGGTTATTGTGGTGCCTATGGGTTTGGTCTTCATCTCCTATATCCTCATCATCTCCACCATCCTCAAGATTGCCTCTGCTGAGGGACGGAAAAAGGCATTTGCAACTTGTGCCTCCCACCTCACTGTGGTTATCATCCACTATGGCTGTGCCTCCATTGCCTACCTCAAGCCAAAGTCAGAGAACACAAGGGATCAGGACCAGCTGATCTCAGTGACTTATACCATCTTTACCCCACTTCTTAACCCTGTGGTGTATACCTTGAGGAATAAGGAGGTCAAGGATGCCCTTCACCGTGCTCTTAGCAAGAAATCTCTTGCCTAGACTCTTCTGCGATTTGGCAGGCATCAGGCTGTCCTCATCTCAAGTTTCAGTTGTGTGTGGACAGCTGTGTTCTGAAAATATTAAATGGAAAGTTCTAGAAACATAGGGGTCCTGTTTTCAATTGTGTACATTTCTGAGCAGCGTAGTGCTTCATCTAATGTAAGACACAAACCATCCCTTTGTCCAGGGTCTCCATGTTGTATATGTATCCACCCATTGGTATATGTGGTGTAAATTAAACTTTATCATAGCAATATTGGAGTAGGATAAAGATTGTATGTGCACGTCAGTACTATCTATAGCTTTATGCATCCCCTGGCAATCTTGGAACATCTATCTCATAGATAAAGAGCTCTACTGTATTGTCTATTATAGTCCATCTGGTTCTTTGTCTAAGCTCAAACATGTTAAGTCTTATCATTTATCCTTACCCAGAGTACATTGCAAAATTTGGTGGTATGATTGCATTAAAGAATGCCACTTGAATGTGTTAAAGGTTAACTTCTTAATTTTATTTCTCAAAGAAATATTAAAATTAATAAAATTCCTGTGGTGATGGGGATCAAACTACACCATCTTGATTTTAATCATCAATCTCCTAGATTGCCTATTAGTCTCACAGGCTTCCACTGGACTAGATGCCACTCACAAGATGGAAGCTGGTAGAAATCATCAGCAAAGGGGTAGCTGATTTACCCTGAGTAGTTCATGACAGAGAATGGGCTGCAAAGCACCTATTCAGAGCAATAGGTTGAAAGACCAAAACAAATGTCAGAAAGATCAAAGAGGATGTGGTTGGTACACAGTGTGCTTAGGAAACAGTCAAAACCTACCTTTTCCCAGCCCTCTCTTTCTTCTTTGGGCAGTGACAAGGGTAACAGACCCTGACTCTCCATAAGAAATACGAGCAGCTCTAAACATTCTCACCTGCCTTGGAGACGCGTAAATATTTTTTTCCCAATTTTGTTGAGGTTTACATAAGAACTGCTCCCTCACAAAGCTGGGCTTTCATTCAGTGTTAGTAAGCAACTTGGCCACTTCTTGCTCTGAATTATATTGTATCTACATATGTTTTCTAGGATAGGTTATATTATATTTATGACCATAGGGATAACCAAAAATATACCACCAGAGTACTAATTTTGGCTATTTCAGATATAAAAATTAGCCTACAGAACATGTCCTGATACTTATCTTTCCCTATACTTCTTCATTGAGATACTGATGATCTTGTTTTGTGTGAATTGTTAGGCACTTAAGTTAAATTTTAGATTTGAACAGTTTTCCATACAAGAGTCTGAGCATTTGCAGATTCTTGTTGCCTTAAAGTTACATTGCTTTTTATGAAAAAAATAAGATTTGGAAATTAAATGGGATGGAGAGGGGAAAAAGACATACAATTTGCCAAATGTTTTCTGGTCTATAAGATATTGATGTTAAAAAAAATCTATCTGCTATGTACTATGATTGTCCAAGTATCTCTTTTGAAAATAAACTGGGACATGGGGGTTCCTGGTGGGAAAACAGATAAGAAGGGAAATCTGTATTTATGAAGCCCAAAAGAATAAAAGACTTGATTCCTCAGAACAGCTCTACTTCCAAGAGAACTTGAGAGTAGGTATGAAGAGGAATCTCTAGAGTTTAACTTTGCCTTTATCTGTGATTCCCTAAGGATAGCTCTGATATTTTCTGAGATGGGTACAGGGAAGCACGTTCACAACCTTGCTCTTAAGAAAGCCCTTTCGAGACTTTCCTTTTGGAGTTCCCACACTCCAAAATAGCCCATTCCTAAAATCTTGTCCCAGAAGATGCATTATTTCTATAAATTGCTGAATTTCCCACAACTGCACAGTATTCTGCAAGATTGATGACAAATGGAGAGAAGAATGGTAGTCAAACGCAGCCACAATATTCCAAGTACATGTGTGAAAAGGGAATCAGGTAAACTGAGGAGATGAACAGGAGTTGAGAGATGAGGGAGAAGGATGAAAGGGGAGACACTGATGGAGATTCGTTGCACCAAAAACTGACATGAGCTTGTGGCTCATGCCTATGAAACAAGCTACTCAGGAAGCTAAGACCTGAGAATCCTGGTTTGAAGCCAATAAGAGCAGGAAAGTCCATGAGACTCTTAATCTCCAATAAACTACTGGAATAAAAGTTGGAAATGATGCTGTGGCTCAAGTGATAGAGTTCTGAACTTGATAAAAATAATCTCAGGGACAGTACCCAGGTCCTGAGTTCAAGTCCAGGATCAGAATGCACGCACATACACACACACACTTCACATATCGATATTAAGTGAAGTAAGCCAGACCCAAAGAAACATAGGTCCCATGTTTTCCTTATTTGCAATAACTAGCATACATCTGAGACAAGCAGAAAAGGTCAGATAAGTTGATGTTACGGGAATGAACCCCAAGATAAGTATTCAAATTTTTTTTCTTTCTTGCAATTGTTTCTAACATATTTATAAGATGATTTCTTTGTTGCTTTGTATGTCCGTCCCCCACGGTATAACCCCTGCTTTCATTTGTATTTGATGTTGGTATAATTTGTGGAGGGGAAGGGCAAAAACAAACCGTTTAAATAGGGATCCAGGTGGACCCATTGCAACAATGAGATGTACAAGTTGTTATGTTGAAAACGAACTTTACAACTTTGGCCAGGCGGGAGCAGGTGTGGGGGGAGATGGGAAGGGATGGTAAGGGGAAACAAAGGAGGAGGCAACAATGCTTGCTAAGAAATGTACTCATTACCTTGCCCATGTAAGTGTAACCCCTCTGTATAGTATTTTCACAATAAAAATTAAAAAAAAACTTCACATATCGAACTGAAACTCCTTTGTAAAACTACTTAAAGATAAATAAACAAATAATTGGTGTCCAGTACTAAAAGTGTGCTTCCCCTGAGTTCATATGGGTTTGTGCTGAGAACAATTATGATGCAATACATCCAAAGTGACTAAAATAGTAGATATCAAAGGCCTACAAGTTGTTTATTATTTTTCAAAAAAAATGCAGTTGACACCATCTTAAAGAGCCAGAATAAAAGTCAATGGACTTAATTTTGGAGCTTATGTGATCATCATCACTGAACAAGCATGATGGAGAGAATGAGGCCTAAACCCACAGCTTGGGCTTAGTCACCACATAGCCACATTGTTCATGACTCAGAGCCTGCCAGTTCAGGATGTTACCACTGTAACTCCATTCACACATCTCTTTCAGCAGCAACACGTGGTCCCATAAGGATACCTCCCATATCTCCCCAACAAAGGATTGATTTTCCTCAAAACTACCCCCAAAGGAATCCTGTTCTTGTCCCAAGATGATCTTTGCTTGGGCCCCCACTGAATACCCTTTCATCAAACCCTTTCTCCCCAAGGGTTTCCCTTCTACCCAGATTCAGCAAGCCCAGAGGCAGATTCCCAGCTCACACAAACATGGATAGGGGCATAAGGAGTCACTGGTGCCCTGAAAATGGCATCTGAATTCCCAATAGTTAGGCTGTACTTTCCCATTTTGTTGACAAAGAGAAGCAGCTCGTTGTCCTTGGATGGGGTGCTGTAGGAGAAGAGGCTATAAGGGCGGGTGAGGTCCTTGAAGGCCTCAGACACAAGGTGAAGTTCTGCAGAGGCTTCCTCACCAGAGGGACCAGGGACACGTGGGCAGTAGCTGATTCTTGAGGGAAAATAAACACCTTCCCTCTCATGTCTGGAGAAAAGACAATGCGATTTTTTTTAAATCAACCCTGTGGTTTGATTTGCTCTTACTGTGGACTTCAGCTGTCTCCTAACAGCATAAACAGTGGACTGATAGAGCTCCCGTAATTGTATTGCCTCAGTGATTCTCAGCACAAATGCCAGTATTAAAGGCATGTTTAGGTTCAGTTGTCCCATTATAAAAGTAAATTAAAGAGGTCCATTTTCTACCTCACTTATACCTGCCTTACAGACATCGACTGGGTAAAAGATAAAAGGCCAGTCACAGAAAATGAAACAGAGCTGACTTGCTGGACCACCATAATAGGTAAAGCACATCCCTCTCCATATTCTCCCACCTTTGACCAGACCCTGAGATTTCTCCCAAGGAACACTAGGGTTATGTATATTTTGGAAGTACTGGAGTTTGAACTCAGAGACTAGTGTTCATTTGGCTTCCTTAGTCAGCTGGTGCTCTACCAACTCGAGCTATACCTCCAGCTTTGTTCTCTGCTGATATTTTGGAGATGGAGTCTTCACAGACATTTATGAACAGGCTAGCTTTGAATTTTAGTGCTCTGGATCTCAGTCTGCCCGAGTAGCTGGGCAGGATCACAGATGTGATTCACCGGCACTCCAGTAGATAGAATTTTAATAGCTCATCTTGAACCTTGGCTTCCCTGTGATGGGCCAACACTCATGGTTAGTACAAAGCCTGAGAAACAGAACAGTGTGCAACAGTGTGCAAAACACCTAGCCCTGACTCTTCCAGCACCCTTCCATCCTTTCCACCTCTCTCCCTTTGGCAGTTTCCTGCATTCAAGGGCAAGATCAGAATTCTGTTTCCCTGGAAGCAACATACAAATGTAGAATTACTAACTTATAGCTGACTTATTGTTTCTTCTAAAGGCCCACCAGAAAATAAGAGAGTATAATCCTCATAAAACCCATTTTTTTCTTGCTTAGGAAAGTGAATTTAACAAATATTATATGCTGGAAAATAAATTAGAGAATAATGACTAACTGAATCAAGGGAGACATAGCCTAGAAATCATATGAAATCTTGAATTGAGCTAGATTTGCTTCATTGTAGGAAATGGAAAAACAGCATGAATTCCTATTTCCTTAGGTTAAAAAAAATGCTTCCCCTAGACAAAGAATAGAAACAGAGCACTTTGAGGATGAGGGGGAGAAGGGAGAGACAGACAGACAGAGTGAAGAAGAGACAGAGAAAGAGACAGACAGAAGGAGGGAGAAAGAATTCCAAACTTCCACTAATACAAAGGAGAAATAGGAGGCTCATTTATGCCCTGTGATCTAATTACTTCTGCTGGGTAGCCTAGTCATTATACAAACCTGTTGCAAAATAGAACCACTAGCCAGAAAATGAGATGTTGGATAACTTATTACTGATAGGAATAAAATAGAGAAGTGAACTTGAGGTGAAGCTGTCCTTAGTGGTTGTAAGAAAAAGAGGAAGGAAAGGGGAATGTCAAACACTAAAGCTATTTGCTGGTAATGAAAAGCTAATACTGCATAACACTATCACATCAGTATATTTTGCCTTTCATTGAACTCACCTATGCTTTATAACAACTCTCTGCTATTCCACTGTATAGATGGAGAAACAGGCTCAGTGTTCAACTACTTCACAAGGCTCCATCAATTGTCCTGGAGAAAATCTGAAGTCCAACCCCTCCTCTCCTGCTACCCAGATGAAATGCTTAAAAAGGGTCAGAAAGATCCCACTCCAACTCATTTATCAACTTTCTTTTCTAGAAAAAGGTCACCTTTCCCATCCCTTTTTATCCTCACAGGTGATACACAATAGTATTCTCACATAATGAATAAAGGCCTTTCTCCTGTCTCTAGTCCTGGGAATTCTTTCTGTCAGGCATATCCTTATCTGTCAACATCTATGGTGGTTTAAAACTGCATCCCTAAAATAATTCTCCCTGTGGGTATGGGCTGACTCACTTCTGGGGAATAGAATGCAACAGGAACGAGGCATGTAATTTCTAAGAGCTGCCTATGCGAAGGCTGTGGCTCTTCCATTGCACTTTCTGTCCTGACTGGAAAAGTTAGCTTCATGTCATGAGCCAACAGGCAAGGAGAAACTGAGGCTGAAACATCCTGTCAAGAGGCCATCCTGACTAGCCACACAAGTCCTCCCTTACGGCCCTGCCTTACTGACTGCAAACTTGAGAGACTTTGAATCTGCAGCATCAGCACAGCCTCCTGCTGTGCTCTGACCCACAGGAAAAATATGAGCCAGTGCATGTTTGTTGTGTCAAGCTGCTAGTTTTGAGGTTAAATCTCAGACTGCAGTAGGTCACTTTGACACCACCTCTGATTCATACCTTCCTGAAAAGAAGGCATTTTTCAGTAGCCACAGAAAAAAGGTACCACACCCTATTCCCCCAGAGACCTGGAAGAATTTCCCAGCTGGGCTCCAGACCTACCTGCTGGTATCACGACCCTTGCAAAGACAGAGAAGAGCAGGGTTCCCACACGGAGCTTCTCCAGCCCCATCTCCTTGGCCTTCTGGAGTAGTAGGAGAGGGAGCAGTAGTTGTCTCAGTAGAGAGAGGGGCTCACAATTCAGCTTTTCATATTGCACTCAGGGAGGCAAGGTCCTCTGTGAAGTTATAAGTGGTAGATATTAACTGAACTAAGTGATGTTTTAAAAGTAACCTGTTTACTTTTTGATCTATAGTTTCCACTTGGGATCTTTCTTGTCTCTATTTATTTCCTTCTTGGTTGTCCTGTTCATCTTTCTCTCCCCTCTCAGACAGGAAAGAGGCACTTTGTCCTGCTGAAAGGACTTAACTACCTTCTGTGTTAAGTAAAGTCTGGCAGTATGCTCCAGTTTCAATCTTAAATGTTCCCTAAAGGCCTACGTGTTAAATGCCTGTTCCCTAGGTTGGTGCTATTGGCTGGTCATGGAAACCTCTAAGAGATGGGGCCTAGTGGAAGGTTTTAGACCATTGTGGGGCCAGAGGCTGAGGAGTGCCCCAAAGGAGACTGCAGGATGCCAGTCTCTTCTTTCTTTTTGCTTTCAGGCTGCCGCAAAGTGATCAGCTTGCTCCACAATCTGCACAGATATTCAGTCTTTCTGCTGTTCAGCCTTATCAGAAGCCCCAAAAGAGCAAAATCTGTTCACCATGGGATGGAACCACTGAAACCATGAGCCACAATAAACCTTTCCTCTTTTTAAGTTAATTATCCCAGGCATTTTGTCACAGTAACAGAAAGCCGATTAGCACACAATCTGTTGTCAGGACTTTACGATGAGCATACTTCATCTGCTTGAGGAAGCATTTTCCACCCCCATAAGATTTGAGATATGATCAGTAGAACATTAGCTGACTCAAGTAGTTGTGGAGTTCCATAGAGTTGTGAAATGAAGACTCCTTGGTTGTGACAGAGTGTAGATCAAGCTCTTGTAGTCTTGATGATGACATTGCTAACATCTCTACAAAGGAACTCTCATTTGCTGGGTGTTCAGATGGAGCTCTTTACTGGGAACCTAGCCATCATCAGTAAATAGGGGGTTCATGTAAGCTATCTAAAGATGGATAGACATCCTATCTCAATAAGGCATGGAGCAATGCTTAGACTGCAAGAACAATGACCCAAATCTACGATTTATAAACCTATTTTTATTGTCATCTAGTGTCTGTCTCCAATAAAATTTGTTGAAACTCTTTTTTATTCTCCCCTTGTTACATATCACAGATTGTAAAGATTCTAAAATCCGTATGGATCAGGCATGGTATGTTTCCTACCACAGCTCAGTCCCCTGTACCTATCACTGTGTTTAAACTTGTAGTATAAGCTTTAAGACTATTTAGGGAATGAATAGCTCTGGAGTTTCTAGGTTAATAAGAAGAATTAACAGAAACTATATGAGTTAAGGGTCTCAGTTGCAAACAACAAGAGCCACTATAGTTGTGGCAGTCTATTTTTCCTTAATTATGCTGTGCAGCAGACCACATTAAAATTCAGTTTTTAAAAACAACAAATATTTATTTTGTTTATGAGTCTGTGCAGTCGTGATTTGGCTTAGTGAGTCTTTTGGTCTCAGCTAGGTGATTAGCAAGTGAGTAAGTTGTTGAACAATAATAGCATATGAGTCAGAAATAGGCTGACTAAAATTACAGCATGCTAAGATCTTGGAATTGTTTGTATAACTTTAGATTGTTCTAAATCAATCTTGCTTTCTCAGTCTGTGAATTCTAAAATTATATAACATGTCATAGTGTCATTTAACAAGAATTCCCTAAGGAATTTGAAAATAATTCGTGCAGTATATTTTTTGGACAATAAAAAATAAATTATTATCATAAAATACAGTATTCCATGTCAATATGTTACCATTGTTAATTGTTAATTGGTGTTTAATTGCATCCATAATACAAATCTAAAAAGACAAAATTAACTTATCTACATTAAATAAATGCTTCACATTATTATATTAAGTTTAAATTAGTTATAGAAGAAAGAACATAACTGATGGACACATTAAAAATGATACTTCATAAATCATATTTAATTTGGTGATAAAAATACATTAAAATGAAGATTGAAATGACTTTTGGCTATATTAAAAAATATGTAATACCTGATTTTGATTTTGTTCTGACATAGAGTCTAGAAACAACAAACTTTCATTTGTTATAAGTTATTTTTTATTATCTTTGAGTACTTATACACAGTGATTTCAATTCAACATGTGAATTTATGAATACAATGCATCTTGATCAGGGTCACAACTTTTATTATGTTTTCTTCATTCTTTTGAAATCATGCTTAGTTTTCAAATCATTACTTTCCAAGCATTTGATTAAGTGTTAAAAAACATCTCAAGGATCTATATAATGGCTCATGGATTAGGGTATTTCTGGGTATAAATATGAATAATTTTTAATAGATTTATGCATAAATTGAAAACAATATATATACATTATATGGACTATTAGAGTTAATTTTGTGTGAGATTCTCATGTTTCAATATGAATGCTTCTTATAATCTATAAATTTAACCAATGATTTATATATATGATTTTTTATATATGATATATATTAATTAAATGCATGGCTAAGAGTAAAAACCATGTAAAACAGTATAATGATCAAAAATCACCCCTCAGCTTGCAATGATAAATTCTCTGAGTGGTGGAATCCTAAAGCCATCAGACTTGCTCAGCTAATATCTACCTGGATGTTTTTCATAAGTTCCACAGGTTCCATTGTAAAGGAACAAAGTAAAACAAAACAGAACAACAACAACAAAAGCACAAGAGGTCTTACTTTTACTTACATGTCAAACCTACAGTTTGCCTATGAAGTGAAAGGTAACAGTTTTCTGAGGAGTTATCAACTCTTCATATTTCCACCTTGTCTTAAGACCTGGATAATAAATATCAGAAAGGCTCTAAATGTATTACAGGCACAGGATCTGTTTTCTGTTCTGAGATGTTACGTACGCCTCCTCTTACAAAACAGGAAATGGTACATGAGCTATTAAAGGGCGGGCCATCACACATCCTGAAGCAAATGCTCAAGAAGGAACATCATTTTCATTCATTTCTCTTTGTATTTCTGTAATACATGGATGTGTCCCTCACCAGGAGTACCACTGCCCTGAGAGGGGATCTTGCTATCCATACTAGCCTGGCAGGAAGGTCCAGTCAAGGAGTCAGGGGGAAGCTCACAGCTCAGAAAACCCTGGACACTTAGAAGGATTTTTATGGAGGAAGAGAATTCAGTGAGGATAGAGAAGTGTGGTAGAAAATGGGAGGAATGATTTTGTGAGCACCAAAGATCCCTAATAGCAGAGGGTAGGAAAAAGGCTTAATGGTCAGAGACCACATTTCTAAAAAAGAAGATGCTGTTGGGAAAACAGATTCCTTTATAATTGAGTAACTTCAGGAAGTTCTATACTTCCATTAACCTCATTTTCTCATTAGTTAAAAAAAGATTAAAAAATACTACCCATAGGTATTATTATATGATGTTACAAAGTTAGATATTTAAAATGTTATGCAAGCTGGGTGCCAGTGGCTCACACCTGTAATCCTAGCTACTCAGGAGGCTGAGATCTGAGGATCGACTTCAAAGCCAGCCTGGGCAGGAAAGTCCATGAGACTTTTATCTCCTATTAAACACCAGAAAACTAGAAGTGGTGCTGTGGCTCAAGCAGTAGAGCTCTAGCCTTGAGTGGAAGAGCACAGGGACAGCGCCCAAGCCCAGAGTTCAAGCCCCATGACTGACAAAAGAAAAAAATAATAAAAATAAAATGTTAGCAGTTACATTTTTTAAATAAAAACTTTACATTTCTGTACTATCTACTCAGGATTGAGGTCTGTCATTTCTCCTAGTAGGTTTCTCAAAACAATCATCCTTACTGGCTTTTCTGTACATGTGACTTCTGATCAAAGGACAGATTCTATATGGAAGCCAGTAGTGATATAGAAAAATAACTGAGATGTTCTGAAAGTCCAGTTGATGATCTGGTTGGGGAGGTAAAGAAAGAAGACCTGAGTCAGGCACCAGTGAATCACACTTGTAATCCTTGCTAGTAGGTAGGCTGAGATCAAGAAGATTGTGGTTCCTGGCCAGCCTGAGCAGAAGAGTCCATGAGACTTCATGTGAACAGGAAGTAGGGCATAGTAGTACATGCCTGTCTTCTAAGCTATGATGAAAAGCAAGAAAAATGAGGATGTGGACCAGATATACACCTGGGCAGGAAGTAGAGCCTATTTCAAAAATAACCACAGCAAACATGGGCTGGAGATAGGACTTAGTGGTAGAACACATGTCTAGCAAGCATGAGACCAAACTTTAGTCTTGCCAGCAATGATTATAGAAGTGACGCTGATTGAGACACAGTATACTCATAAACTAATATGTTGAATTGGGACCCCTTAAACTTGTTAATGGAAAAGAATAAACTAGAAAATAAGTAAGAAATGAAAGATCTTGTTTCATCCTTATATGTGGAATATCTTATCATGAACAGGGCTGGGGAATTTGGCTATTCATACACAGAGGAATGAAATTAGTCCCTTATCTTACACCCTATATAAAAAGCAACCCCAAGTGCATTAAAGTTCAAAATGCAAGGCCTGATACCATAAAGATTTTAGAAGAAGTCATAAGAGAAAAGTGTCTCGATATTGGCCATGCCAATTAATTATTTTTATAAAACACTAAAACGGATAACAAAAGCAAAACAAAGCAAATGGAGCTACCACAAACAAACAAAAATCTTTGTTTAGATCAAGAAAATGAAAAAGTAGCTCATGAATTGAGAGAAAATATTTGCAAGCCATATATCTGATAAGGAGCTAATATGCAAAATATATAAGAAACTCAATAGAAAGCAAACAAATAATTTCATTAAAAACTTGGCAAAGGATGTGAATAGACATTCTTCAAGAGGTGACATCAAAGTGGGCTACAGACACAAGAACCACAGAGATGTTCAAAATGGCTCAGTATCAGGGAAATGAAAATCAAAACCATGGT